ACCAGGAAAAGACAATCTGGATACCTTTTGACGTTCTCGTCCCTCCTTGTCATCCGGAAGACGGCAGTTGGGGCCAGCTTGTAGCGGTTCTTGATTTCCGCTTCAATCAGCTTCGGGTCAAAATTCGGTAGACCCCTGATGACGACCTTGAATGGTTTCTCGCCGGGAATGTCGTGGGTGAAAAATTCCACCTTGGTAGTCCTCAGGTGGGCAACGACCAAGTCATACTCCGCTTTCGTGCGGAGCATAACCTTGGTGCCGACTCTGCCCAACTTGAATTCGGCTTTAACGCCCAGCGAAGCCAGATCTGCGATGAGATCGTTAAGATGGGCATTTTTTACTACCAACGGAGGTAGCTTTACTTTTGCCGTGCTTGTGTCGGCAACGTCACCGAAATCTCCGACATCACTACCGTTTGCCGCAGTAGCATCGCCGCGAGAAATCGTGCAATCGGACTGGCTCCGATTCTTCTTCCTCTTCTTGCTGCGCTTTCCTTTTGCAGCTGGCTGGGTATGCTCATCGATGGGAAGAACAGCAAACCTGTTCGATGTGGACACACCGGAGCTACCTTCACCGGCGTCCTGGTCCTTCACCGGGCTTCGCGAGCGATGCTTCCCCATTTCGGGGCACACACACACGCACGACAAACCACGAAAGAAAGAGCGCGAACACTAACTCACAATAATGACTGAACTGTGTGGACAGGTAACCGTGCTTTTATACCTTTATTGTTGTCGTTGTTCGTTCTCTTGTCGTCGAGTTGCTGGTGATCTTCATTATCAGGGCGTGGCTAATGCTGCATATCTTTTCCTTATTCAGTTCGTTGCGATGCGGACTGAACATACTGCCACTCCGAAGAAAGTGATACCAACAATCAATACGAAACTAACGATTTTAATTTGGCTCATTACTTGACTAGCCTATTGGTCCCAAGCAAATCAATTGACGTACCCCATTCTAGTCGAAATTCTAGTACTACACTATGTTTGTTTTGATTCACTATGAAAGTTTGACAGATAAAACGAGGGGTTGGTGGATTTTCCTATGTTTCGAGGAGTGAATCGATTAGCTTGGGACCGAAGATAGTACCAGAGCTGAGCCAAAAAGTTGAGCACGTTTCTTCGGGATCTACCTTTCTTAGAGTTACCTCTATGGTGATACTGTTGATACAGCAGGTTGTTCATCTGGAACGCTTACTGGAACCTCCTCCATCATTGGCAATGGTGCTAGCTTATGAACCGGACGTTTGAAGATGCTATTCCCCACGACACGAGTGAGGCCATCGGGACCAGGGTGGGAGTTAACGATTTTACCCATTTTCCACTGTTGTGAAGGTACGTTTTCTTCTTTTAGCAGTACAATTGTATCAAGGACCACATTAATATGCTTCTACGTCCATTTGGACCGTTTTTGAAGCTATACCAAATATTCTTTCGACCAGCGTTGCCAAAAATGCTGTCGAAGCAGTTGAATATGTTGCCATTTTGACAGTCGATTGATAGGTATATCATTAAGAGAAGGCTCGGGGATAGCAGTTAAAGGTCTATCGATCATTAAGTGGCCAGGGGTCAAAACTTGTGGGTCATTGGGGTCAGGGGAGTGCGCAAAAAGAGGTCTCGAGTTTAGAATGGCCTCGATTTAGCAAAGCAAAGTCGCAAATTCCATAATTGTCAAGGAGGCAGACTGATACACTTGCTTCAGAACAGTTTTCACGCTTTTAACGCCGGCATCCCATAACCCTCCAAAATGAGGTGCGCTCGGGGGTATTGTGATCCATTTTATCGCCTTAACTTGGCAATTATCTGATAGCTTTCCGTCAGTGATGTCCGACTTGAAGAGCTGGTATAGCTCACGAAGCTCCAATTTTGCGCCTATGAAATTGGTTCCATTATCACTATACACCTCGTCCGGAACTCCTCTTTTAGAGACGAATCGCTGTAGTGCTGCCAAAAATGCGTCGGTTGATAAGTTCTCCACTGCTTCGAGATGTATTGCCTTCGATACCATACAGACAAATACGCAGATGTAGCCTTTCACTGGAGCTATCTTCCTAGCGGTTTGCTTTATGTAAATTGGTCCAGCGAAATCGCTCCCAACTTTTAAGAACGTAGGTGCCATGTTGACTCGATAAGAAGGCAGGTCTCCCATGAATTGACCAACCAGCCTTGGATTTGATTTGAAGCACGAGATGCAACTTCTGGTGACCTTGCGTACAGTTGACTTTGCATTTAATATCCAATAGCGTTCGCTGAGGGCAGAAATTACACTACTGGAGCCAGCATGCAGGTTTTTCCTTGTGGGTTGCAGCAATTAATCTTCTTGTAACAGGGTGCTTGTCCGGAACGATCCATTGGTATTTCGCTTCGTAAGGTAAGTTGCTGTTTCGAATTCTTCCTCCAGTAGTAGCCCATCGTTCAGAAATGGATTCAGATTGCCGAGTCGCTTGCACGGTTCTCCAGCTTGAAGTCGTTCGATTTCATCTTTTAGTTGATGCCTTTGAATTGCTTGAATAATTCGTTTCGTTGCTTCTCTTAATTCAGGAATTCTAGACCATTGAAATAGGCGGAACAACCAAACGTAAACAATGGCATTAAAGGCAAATTCCTCGAGAATCAAAGCACATCCAAGCAATCTAACACCATCATCTGATAGAGCAAACTTCCTTTATCGAATGGCATTTTTAGTTTGCGTGAGAGTGTTTTGATTCTCAAGAATTTTGTGTTTAAAGCCATTGTTTACGTTTGGTTGTTCCGCCTATTTAAATTGTTGGTCTAGATTGTTGGAGACAATGTAGAACTTCGTTCACCAATCTTCAAACGACAATTTGAGATAAAGCGAAGGACGTAGGCAACGATTCTCTCAGTCTTGCGGAAGGATTCAAACTTCGTTAGTATCGGAAGCTCTTCATAAAGGGTTGCTATGTTGACTACTATTTCAGACCTTAATTCCGAGATTTCTTTATCTTGTAGTTCTACAGAGATTTCAAGAACAACATGTGAAAAGGGCATACAAGCTTTTTGTAAACAAACCTTCTTATGCCCTTTTCTCGCCACCCATATGACACCAACGCACACCATCAACATTACTGGGTAGGAGAAGCATTTCCTTTCCCGATGATATTGTTGGTTTGCGTGGACGACCCTCGGTTGGCGAGAAAAGGGCATAAGAAGGTTTGTTTACAAAAAGCTTGTATGCCCTTTTCACATGTGGCTCTTGATTTCTTCTTCGTACGTGCGAAGTGTCATAAGTCTGAGTAGCAACCCACCTGTTATATTTTGGTTATGCTTGTTTTTTAGACAACCTTTCTGCACAGAAAACCAAATGCAGTGTCCCCCCCCCCACCCCCGCCAGTAGTGGCGGGGGTGGGGGGGACACCCCTCACCATCCCTCTCCAAAGGGGGAGTTTGGTAAAGAGAGATGATAAACCCGATTTGTACCTTCCTTAAAAGTTGTCCTAAAGGGTGATACAGTCAAAATTTGGTCAAGGGAAAACGCGTGTAAATCGGTGAAATCGTTTATTTAAAAAATCAAATTAAATTTCTTTTTCAAGTTCAATTAGTATAAAATTCAGGAAAAATATTCAGTTAGGCTTCCGCTTTTCCAAATCCGAATTGCCGGGCCTTACGCTTGACCCCTGCCATCAGATTTTGTACAGCCACCTTGTCCACCTTCTTCGCCGCAGAAAGCCAGTTTGCCTTGAACTACTGCTCGCCCTTAGCATTTTTTTTGGTCTTCTTTAGGTTCCGCTTGACAATAGCCCAGTATTTCTCAATTGGGCGGAGCTCTGGCGTGTTGGGAGGGTTCTTGTCCTTGGGAACCACCTGCACGTTGTTGGCGGCGTACCACTCCATGGCCTTTTTACCGTAATGGCAAGATGCCAAATCCGGCCAAAACAGTACGGAACAACCGTGTTTCTTCAGGAAAGGCAGCAGACGTTTATTCAAACACTCTTTCACGTAAATTTCTTGGTTGACAGTCCCGAAAGCTATGAAAATGCTGCTTTTCAAGCCACAGGTACAGATGGCTTGCCAAACCAGATATTTCTTTGCGAACTTTGACAGTTTCATGTGCTTGAAAACATCTGCTACCTTTCCCCTTCCTTTTGCCGTATAAAACTCCTGTCCCGGAAGCTGCTTGTAGTCGGCTTTGACGTAGGTTTCGTCGTCCATTACCACGCAGTCAAACTTCGTCAGCATCGTCGTGTACAGCCTCCGGGATCGCGCTTTGGCCGTCGTATTTTGTTTATCATCGCGATTTGGAGTCACTACCTTCTTGTAAGTCGATAGTCCGGCTCGTTTTTTGGCTCGATGCACGGTTGTAGACGATACACCCAGCTTATTTGCGGCATCTCGGAGAGAGAGGTTAGGGTTTCGCTTGAAACTACCGGCAACTCTCTTTGTCGTCTCAGCGGCTTCCGGTTTTCGATTTCCCCCCGATCCAGACTTCCTGGCTGTCGACAAACGTTCCCCAAACACTTTAATTACATTTGTAACGGTTGATTTGGCAACTTTTAGCGATTTTGCCAACTTTGCGTGCGAGTAGCTCGGATTTTCGCGATGCGCGAGCAAAATTTTGATACGCTGCTCTTCTTGCTTGGACGGCATTTTGACAACTGAAGAGTGAATTCCAAAATCAAAATAGGAGCAACATTCTACACACACACACCTTCAAAATGAGGGGTGTTCAGGTTTTTTAAATGCAAAATTGAAAGAAATACGTCAAGTTGATATTGACCAAATTTTGACCGTATCACCCTTTAGCTCGCTATCTACTTTCTATATGCAATTTTCACACTGCCGTAATCTAAACGGAACTATCAATTCTATACTTTCATCTTCTCCTCATCTATCGTATAAAAATTACCACTTCAGTCTGTTATTCGAAATATCATCTTCAACTATGTAAATCGTTGACTTCACGCAGAAGTAATACTAAACATATAGTCAAAGAGTTAATTGATAAATATCTAACTTCCTTCTTCTATTTATTTCATTTTCCAGTCCAATTCGACAGATTGACAAACGACAGCAGTCATGCAGCATCTTCCAACGGTCGTAGCTCCAGCAGCGGAGGAAGCGATGAGAAACATCTGATACCAATAAACAATGGCATGGCATCTGGAGCAAACGATGGTCACGGTGGAGAAAAACCTGAATCCAAAATTGAAGAGGACGATGATGATGATGATGATTATGAATTGGTACCACCGGACGGTGGATGGGGCTGGCTTGTGTTGGCCGGTTCAATGTTAGTTAACATTCTTGTACCTGGCACTATTAAGAGTTTTGGAGTTTTGTTTGTGGAATTTCTCGAAGCATTCCAGGCGACACCGTCATCTGCAGCATGGATTCCAGCGTTATGTTACTTTCTGTACAGCTCACTAGGACCCCTGTCCAGCATACTATCGGTCAAGTACAGCTACAGGACGGTTACAATTGTCGGAGGAACGTTTGCCGCGGTTGGGATGATCATCACCTATTGGGCGACTTCAGTTAGTTACCTGTACATCAGCTATGGAGTATTGGTGGGGACGGGAGCTGGACTTTCGTTTCCGCCTACAGTTTACATAGTTACGTCGTACTTTGTGAAGCTAAGAGGTTTGGCAAATGGACTGTGCATTTCCGGTAGTGCGTTGGGATCGATCATATTGCCTCCAGTTTTGAGATATTTATTGGTTAACTTTGGTTACCGGGGAGCTTGTTTGATCATGGGTGGGGTCACCCTCAATGTTTGGGTAGCAGCTATATTCTACCAGCCGGTGGAAAACCATATGAAACGCGTGAAAAAAGTCAAACAAAATGCAGAGATAATGGGCAATGATACCATTATGGAGGAATCTGAAAACAATGATGATATGAAAGTGGGGCATGACCACGAGAAATCTGCGTTCAAACCAAAGTTTATGATCACTGGTGATGATACTCCCATTGCTACACCAACATTGGAACACAAATCTCCGGATATTTTCCGCTTTAATCCCAAGAATGGATTGGTTGACAGCTTTGCTAGAAGTGTATCGGCAGCAGCCGTGCCTGCATCCTATCACAAAGAGGATGGTAGCCACAGGCATCGTAAGATCAGTACTCCCATTAAAGAGGAACACCGAAACTTAACCTTCACTACACCACTGAACGAATCACAGGGATCACATTTCCGATTGAATAGACTGAACTCTATCCGTGGGCAAAGGCCTCCAAGGCGATCCCCGTCTACTAGCAGCTTCCAATACATCAGCACGCCATATCACGGAAGTACTCTCTCAGCTCTTCAGCCTAAAGAATTTGCCTCACACCTTTCTTTAAGATCGATCGCAGATAGTTTCAAGCCATCCACCAAACAAATGGGTGCTAAGTCCGAGGAAAAGACTGATAGCCAAAAATACTTTGATCTTACTCTTCTCCGTGATCCATCATATCTAGTGATACTTATATCCAACTCCACCAACGCTATTGGTTACACCAACTTTATTATCTTACTACCAGCGTACGCAATCTCACTAGGGTTTGACAAAAGCCTCGCGGCGTATCTGCTTTCCATTGTTTCAACGTTAGACCTGGTAGGACGTATCGGAGGCTCGGCGCTTTCGGATACCAATCTCATCCCCAAGACGTGGTACTTTGTTGGTGGTCTCTCAATATCGGGTCTAGCATTGGCTGTTCTTCCAATGGCTAGTTCATATACTATGGTAAGCGTTTTCTGTGCTCTATTCGGTTTAGCTTCGGGCACGTATGTTGGAATCACCGCCGTTATCATGGCGGATATGCTAGGAACCGAACGGCTTACATCATCGTATGGAATCAGCTTATTCGTAAACGGAATTCTGCAACTTATCGGACCGCCGATATGTGGAATTATTTTCGAGCAGATGGGTGATTATCGGCCATTGTTCACTGCACTTGGTTTCGTTCTACTTGGAGGATCCACGTTATGGGGATTCATGCCTTTAATACGAAGAAATAAACGCCGCAATCTGCAAAAAGCGGCTGAAGCTCAACAGGATGCAGAGAAAAGTCTAATAGCTTAGAATACGTGATCCAACCTAAAGACCAATCTGGGAACCAGAGCTAGTTATTTATCTTGGTAGGTATTGCGCATTGCGTGTAATAGTTGTGCGCAACAACTTTTAAAACTACGGTTTTGCGTTGAATCGATTTAGAGTCTTCTGCGCACTTATTTCTTGTGAACTAAAGGATAAGTGCGCCCAAGCATTTGCGCACAACTAATAGCAAAAATATTACGTGCAGTGCGCAATGCGCAATATGCGTTCATCCTAGTTAGATATCGATGCTTTATACAGAAAACAATCTACAAGATTTTAATCTTCGATTCTCTTACGTGTGGATCGACGATGATCGTGATATGACAATTCAAAACAGATTTCTTTCAAAATATGCAGGAAAGTAAGAAGTATTTAAGTGCATGTAAAATAATCACTGTACGGCGTAACCGTATTCTACGATACGGTGTAGCAGAAGGGCTACTACTGTAAAACTGATATTTAGGTCAAAGAAAATGAGAAAAAGGAAAACAATACGAGTATTATATTTTTAGGTATTTTACAAATTGTGTGAGCTAGAATCTGAGCTGAGCGTATGAATGATTAGATTATCTTTAGAAATAGGCACAAATCAATATGCCATAACAACAGTTGAATTCAACTGATGAAATGGAAACAGTGTAACAGTGAAGTGCACGTTTAAAATCAGTTTTATCTATGTAGTGTTTGACATCCAATTTTAATTTTAACATTACGTATTAAGAAGGTAGACGATTCCATATATTTATTCTGCTTTTGTCTAATCGGTTCTTGAAATTATCGATTGAAGTCCAAATTTTGATCAAGAATTTACAGAAGTTTTCCACCTATGGAAAACACGCCCATAAATGCTGAACTGACAAAGGTAGATTATAATATTTGGAATGGAGAATTAGGTGAAAAATAAAGCAATGATGATTGAAATTCTTGTTTATTGTACTAATAAATATCCGAAATCCAAATGATCCTTTGAAGTGTGAATTTGCTTTCATTTACATTATCGCAACAAAAAATAATAAATAATCACCAAGCAAGTCAAGTGGAAGGCAATCAAATTTCTAGAGCACAAATGTGTCCTCACAGACAATGAGACATAACACATTGAATATTTCACATTGTAAAACATCGTCACTATTTGTTGTTGTGATGGGCTAAACAGATGGCGGTAGTTTATAAAAATCAAACGCAAGGGAACTGATTATGCACGCCACACGTGGCGGTACCACCGACTAAGAAACATTTAAATTGACCGTCAAAAGCAATCTCGATGTTTGTCTGTGGTGTCCTGTTTGCTGAACTGTATAGGAAAATTGTGGAATGATCCTCGCCGACTACCACCCTACGAGCATCGCTGCGCATTGATACGTCTGCCGACCTTGGTTAATGGGAGGATCTTGTTGCAGCGGCTTTTCATATTTGACATCCTGAATAACAACATAGACTGCAGTGCCCGGTACTGCTGAACAACATTCATCACAAACGTTCCAGTCAGAACAACTCGACATGCAGATTTTTTCCGCTTTCCTGTGAACCGCACCCTCTTTGGACTGAACAATCCCTTTGATGTTTGTTGTCGTCGTTTTAATGAAGTGTTTATCAATTTATTTTTAGAAACAGGATTAAAAGTTAACTGTAATATCTGTCTGTACGATTAATTCGATGACATGTAAATCAATAAAAAGAATGTAAAAAAGTGGAGTTCCAGTTTCATTGTTGTATGCTTTGTGGGAACTGATATTTGTGCTCTTGAAATTTCGAAGTGACAGTAAGATCAATCATAAATAAGGTTTCCTTAGCTATTTACCTTAAAGCGTCCTTTACTCCAAGCTGCGAAAAATTCTGGGAATCAGGTAATCGTTTTTAAAAATCGTAGGGTAGGATCCCGAGAAAAAATTCAAGACGTTTAAAACTAATCAATCGGGTTCTTTATTTTTGAAAAATATATCCGTTTTAATATATCATCTGAAAGAGCTTCGTTTTCTGAGCACAGCGATATTTTTTTCGAACCCACACACTTTCATCTCGATTTGTAAATCAAGATTTAAAGCAAAATAATAACTTCACTGTTTGACACTAAACTAACAAACTGACAGCTCGCTTCCATGTAAAGTGACACCGAGGGGCGCCAATAAGTTGATTTTTGCAAATGTAATCTTACTTATTTAAAATAGTTCCAGTGTTCCAAAATTGATGAAATTTTGGGTTTGGGTTCCATTTTTAATGCAGATTACGAATATGCATTTACCTCAATACCCTTAAAGAACCCAATTTCACAAATATTAAAGCTACTATTCAACTTCTTTGTGGATTTCATACTTCAAATAACTGCTTCTATCTCCTGCAATTATGAAGCCTCGGAGTTGACTCAAATGATACGCCGGAGCCTTGGCAGAGCATACCGAGCACCAGGCGATGTTATAATAAGAGCACCGACAAACCGACATGACACTGAATTCTGACTTATGTCCGGAAATCGTAAACGGCCGATTTAAATGTGCAGTGATCCTTCGGATGTCAAAACCATAGGATTTTTTGATGTTGATAAAAATAATGTATCGGCCGATTTAAATGTGCAGTGATCCGAACTGTCAAAACCATAGGATTTTTTTTATCTAGATATCTAGACACGAACCAATTCATAACTTTTGCATGCGGGTTCATGGCTTAGCTAAATATTTCCCGCGAACACGGAGCCAGATGTCAGTAGTGTGCTTTGGTCAGACATTTTATTGTTTTTGCTATGGTCATTCATATCGGTTTGTCGGTGGTATTTCCAGCAATCAATTCGAAACTACAGATTTCAAATTGGCTCACTACTTGACTAGCCTATTGGTCCCAAGCAAATCGATTAACGTACCCCAATTTGACAGATAAAATGAGGGATTCGTGGATTTTCCTATGTTTCGAGGGGTGCATCGATTGGCTTGGGACCGAAGATAGTACCAGAGCTGAGCCAAAAAGTTGAGCACGTTTGATGTGCCTTCCTTGGTTTTGTTTTTCCGTCGATCTTGTTTTCCGTGCCGCGTACCAATGCTACCGACGCCAGAAAGAAAGCTCGCACACCTGTACCCTACCTATCGATCCATCAACTCATGAACCGGGGACCAAAGGCTTTACCAACAATCAATACGAAACTAACGATTTTAAATTGGCTCACCACTTTAGTAGCCTATTGGTCCCAAGCAAACGATTCTAGTCGAAATTCTTGTACTACGCAATGTTTGTTTTGATTCGCTATGAAAGTTTGACAGATAAAATGAGGGGTTATTGATTTTTCCTATGTTTCGAGGGGTAAATCGATTAGCTTGGGACCGAAGATAGTACCAGAGCTGAGCCAAAAAGTTGAGCACGTTATTTCGGGACCTTCTAGTCTTAGAGTTACCTCTATGGCTTTACTTCCCTTCCGAAGGAAGGTGTGATCAGAGATTTTATAGTTCAGAAAATCCCGACAGTGCCAACTGGGATTGAACCCAGGCCTTTTGGAGTGAGAGGCAATCACGCTTACCACTACACTACCGCCTGATTATAACCGAACTGTTGAAAATTCGGTAAAAATTACTGAAGTCGGTAATCATTTCAAAGCGTGTACTATGTTTTCTTCTCAATTTCACGGTAAAAAATTAAAGGGTTATGTCCTAGACACGACCGCAGTATGACCAACAATCAGTACGAAACCAACGATTTTAAATTGGCTCACTACTTGACTAGCCTATTGTTCCCAAGCAAACTATTAACGTATCCCATTCTAGTCGAAATTCTAGTACTACGCAATGTTTGTTTTGATTTGCTATGAATGTTTGACAGATAAAGTCGTGAAATGGTCTTCAAAATTCAGTAGTGTAGTTTTCTCGCTATGGTGATTTTGGAATTCCGCCTTTTTAAAATGTTAGTCTAGAATGGTCACTCTATCGATCACCGGTATAGAATGAAAGAATTCAAACGCACATTGACGAGTGCACGGATGGATTTGAGTTCACTCACTCGACAAAAAGTGACACAACAGCGGGGCCCTGTTTACTAAAAATGAACATATATGTGTTCATTTTTAGTAAACAGGGCCCCGCTGTTGTGTCACTTTTTGTCGAGTGAGTGAACTCAAATCCATCCGTGCACTCGTCAATTGCCGGACCTGTTTTCACTGACATGACATTCGTGGTGAACTTGTGTTTGTTTTTGTTTTGATTTTCCAGTGACAGTCGTTCCGTTCACTTCACACTCTTGGTTTGTTATATTTGCGCTAGTTGCTAGTTTGTTGTTAATTCCGAACTTTCGGGACTTTGATTAGTTTGCGAATAATAATTGTCTTACAACGCTTATTTACCGGTCGTGATAATTAATTTGTTGATCGTACACGAAGATGTCCGGTCGAAAGTGTAACAACTGCGGGAGTGCCGATATCGAAGTGGATAATGCGCGCGGTGATGCGGTGTGTACCAACTGCGGATCGGTGTTGGAGGATAACATAATCGTTTCGGAAGTTCAATTCGAAGAAAATGCACACGGTGCATCAAGTGCGGTGGGCCAGTTTGTGGCTTCCGATTCGAAAGGTGGTGCGACGGCCTACGGGAAGTTCCATGTCGGCACTGGAACAGAATCGCGCGAAGTTACACTTCGTAAGGCCCGGCAAGGTATTACGCATTTGTGTCATCAGTTGCATTTGAATAATCACTGCATCGAGACGGCCTGTAATTTCTTCAAGATGGCCTTGATCAGACATCTAACCCGAGGCAGACGAAATACCCACATCTATGCGGCATGCGTGTACATTACCTGTCGAACTGAGGGAACATCTCGTAAGCTTTTGAAATCTGAATGAGGTATTCGTTTTTAATGATTTTGTTTTTTTCTAGATCTTTTGATTGACATTAGCGATGTGCTGCAAATCTGTTGTTACGAGCTGGGACGCACATATCTTAAGCTTTCTCAAGCTCTTTGCATCAACATCCCGTCTATTGGTGAGTGGTCATTTTAGTTCACATGGTCGTTTCAATACCAAGTCCAGGCGGAGATTCCGTTGACAACTAAATCGTCTTTGAAAATTACTGGACTTTGTGTTAAATTGTATGGGATGTTATGCATCATAGATTCAACATGGCGTCCAATGTTTTTGTTTTGATTATTTCGATCATCGTAAAATACCAGTAAAATAATTGGTTAGACTTCCAATTATTCTGTTTATTGTTCCACAGCACTCATTGTCTTGAACAAATATTAAAAACATATTGAAATCTTGATCTCGAACTAGGCGACATACTGATGAAAAAGTCAAACATGAGGGTACACCGATAGGCTGCTAACAACTTGGGAGAGCACAAGATGACACTAACTACTAAATCCTCAGATCTATCCGTTTTAAAACACATAAATTAAATTCAAACAGTCGAGATCTCGGCTCGCCAAGACATCTCTAACAGGTATCGCTGATATCTGTGGTTTGGTATGAGAGAGTTGAAGCCATTTTTAGTTATCACCCGTTGCACCCTTAACTGCCAGGCTAACAATAGTGAGACACAGAATGCACGAAATTGCACTTTGTGTAACCCAGAGGAATATTTGGCATTGATGAACAAAAGTTTTTGACGAAGGTTTCTGTGAGGGTCAATTCCAATGACGATCTCAAACATAATTTTGTCAATATCTCGTCAAATCTTTCTATGACAATGATAAATCTCAGCACTGGTACCACAAACATGTAAATGAAGAATAGGTGGCATCTCACGTGCAACGGCGACTGCTAATCGCCATTCATTCATACGTCGACGGTGGTATCACGATTGTGCTCATGTCAGTTCCCCGAACACCATGGTCTTTTTCCAGAATAAGATTCTGCCTTTTGATTGCTGTTCGTTCCATTCCCATTCGGGTTGACGGGGATCGGGGAAGTGACATTCGGGAAGTTCTGGGTCTTCCCCTTTCTGACTTGAATTTCAAGATAAACTTTAAAGGAATACTGAAGAGTATGCCATGAAAATTTAGAAGAGAGTTTCATAGTAATTCCGAGAAAAATTCCATGTGAAAAGAATTCTGCGGATGACTTAACTCTTTCCCGTCCAGGGCGTTTTGGAAAAACAGATATTGTAAACCAATATCTCTGAAGTGTCTTAAGATACTGACTTGACTTGGTCATTTTCTTAACTATAGTAACAGTATTACATATCATGTGACAATAGTCTCACAAAAATGGGTTTAACTGTCATAACGTCATTGCATAAAATGTTAAAAAAAGGCGTGGTGCATCAGAGTAAGAGACGAGAAAGAGTTAAAAAGTATTATTAAAAGAATTTCAACGATAATTTTAAGTGAATTCAAAGAGAAGAATTTCCTACTACTAAAATGTTTGTTTATTTACTTATTGTTTTGTGGTTTACAATTATTGTACATTTCAATTGGTTTAGCCCGAAAGCTCTTCATCTTTGGTGATTATGTCTGTAACAAGTAACTGATTGATTTTAGTTTTACATTGTAATAGTTTACATTTTGCTTTTAAAAACTACAAGGGACAGCCCTATAGGGTTGAACGCAATGGTGACGTAGGACTACGTGGTCTTATATAATATATATTATTTGTTAACTGCAGCAGGAGCTTGTGTTTTGTGTAGGGACAGGAATTTGAGCGGGGTTCTCTCTGTTTATACTCTTTAATATGATGCGCTTAACATAGATGGCCCACAGCACCTCACGAAGAGCTACTAATTCCGATCAATAGCGGTGCGGCTTCTACCTCCTTCCATGGATGCTCATGTGGGCTGCAGCTCGCTGCTTGCAGGCAGCCTTTCGTTGTGTACTGGAGAACACCACCACTCACCACGCGGTGATTGAATAAACACCGTTTGGAATTCAACTTTAAAATCTGTGTTAGGGAAATCGCTTTTCGCAGGCAATCGGTGATAATTTTTAATTATCAAATCAACAGTTGCACATTCATGCAATTTTCAATAGTGACAAGTGACCTGAACACCAGCCAGGTGGTGAACCTCAGAATTACTAGTGCGCGTTGGACTGTTGAGGATCATCCTCAGGATCTTGTTCTGGATCCTTTGTAGTTTGAGGTGATGAGAATGTGCGCAACTCTCCCAGATTGTCAACCCGTACTCTATGACGGGAAGGATTATTTGCTTGTAGACAGTAAGCTTGTTTTTCAGGGATAGGGTGGATCTCATATTGATTAGCGGGTACATCGACCTTATCAAGATGTTGCATTTCATTTTTGTTTTGTCAACATGCTCCCTGAACATCAGCTTGCTATCGAGTGTTAGTTCGAGGTACACTACCTCTTTGGACCACTCCACCACTGTGCCGTTTAGGCAGATTTTGTTATTCTCAGACGGAAGATTTGATTTTGTTATTCTCAGTCTGGGAGATTTTGAGTGTGGAAAATTATGACCTGGGTCTTCGCCACGTTGATACGGATCTTCCAGCTGTTGAAATACTCAGACAAGACATTGAAGTCTCTCTGGAGTTTGGTAGACAGAGCTCCGATAATCCTACCCTTGAAGACGATGGATTTGTCGTCTGCGAACAGAGACAACAATCCACCACCAGGGAGAGCTGGAATATCGGAGGTGAATAGATTGAACAGGATCCTTGGGCTCATCCTGCTTACTTGGGGTACACCTGCACCGATGTTAAAGGCATCCGATGTGATGTTATTCAGAGAGACCTGGAGCGTCCTGTCCGATAGATAATTTTGTATAATCTTCGTGAGGAAGATCGGAAGACCGTATCGATGCAACTTGTACACCAGGCCATCATGCCAGACATTGTCAAACGCTTTTTCAACGTCTAACAATGCCATAGCAGATGTTTTTGAAACAGCCTTGTTCTGTCTAAGAATGTTTGTTACTCGGGTAAGTTGGTGGACGGTTCATCGACTTTTTCGAAAGCCAAACTGCTCCTCGAGTAAGATGTTGTTTTCTTCGGCAGATGTTAGAAGCCGGCTGTAAACTGCCCTTTCGAACAGCTTAGATAACCCTGAGAGAAGGCTAATAGGTCAGAAGAAGGCTGACGGAGAGGAAAGATCCTTCCCAGGTTTCCGAATGGGGACAATTTTAGCTTACTTCCAGCACGAGGGGAAGTAGCCAAGTCGGAGGCACTGATTGAAAATAAGTACCAAATGGTTGTAGAATCTGGAACTAAAGTGCTTGAGCTCTAGATTCAGGATGTTGTCGAAACCTGGGGCCTTCATGTGTTTGGAAGTTTTGATATAAGCCAACAGTTCGTCAGCCGTGATCTCGGATTCCACGGGAAAGATGTTAGGAACCTGGGTGAGATTAATTACATTTTAAGCAACCTTAGCTTCGTGAGGGCTGGTGATGATTGTGGGAGCTGACGAAATGTTGACCTATCGCGGAAGCCTTCTTTTCAGGTGTTATCAGGTGAACCACTGAACCATCAGGACAATTCAGTGGAACCAGCGGTGGAATAGGCTTCGGTGTAGTTTTAAGGACTTTTGTTAGTTTCTAAAAGAGTTTTTCACAATCTGGAAGGAACGGATGTTATTGGCAAAATTCTCATTTCTGAGTTCTACCATTTTGGCTTTGATAAGTTTGGTTAGACCGTTGGAATGGGTCTTCAAGGTCCAGTTCTCTTGTACTGCCTACGCATGGCGTTACGGAGTCTGATTAGGCTTTTAGTATTCTGATCAAAGTTCAGAGAATTACTCACCCATCTGGTAGCTGGTACGATGTCATCAGTCGTCTCAAGTAGGGCGCCGAAATCGATGGTTTCATCGACGACTTGTTGGATCCGATCCCAGCTAACCCGATGGTAATTTCGACGGGAAGCATGCAATCGATTGACGGAGAGAATAATTTCCTAACGAATTGAATTCCAATGAGACTTTCAGATACATTTTAGAGGCGATTCCTAGAGAATTCTTAGAAAAGATCCAAGGCAATTCCGAGGAGAATTTCAGAATTCCAAAATAGCTCTGATCAGAATTCCATGACATTAAAGTGTGATGTAGAAAACTATGAGAGAATGGAAATCTGAATAAAAATGTTAAAGAAATATTGAGAAGATTACTATGAAGAGTTACCAAATTATTTCAGACATAGCATACACTGCCGCTATTCGCATAACAGTCCCATGTAGATAGGGAATCATGCATAATAGGTGTAAAAATCCTAGTTCCGCAATTTGATCTTTTTTTTTCTAAGAGAGGCTTTGAAAGGTTGCTACGCTTTTGAAAGTAACATCCAATTATTGCTTATTATTTTTAAGTTTGTCTTCAGACAGTTTTCTGTTAATTAAGACTGTTTTACTAATTGTAGTTTATTACATTTTATGTACGCAAAATTTAAATGCGATTTACGACTTATTTTACTTGTAAAAAAATCATTGTAACGTGTTACACCTGGGGGATGCTAAATGTGTTATGTTTGGTTACTTGGGGGAGGGGGGGGGGGGGGGTTTTATTATAAAACGTTTTTTTTGCGTTACGTAATTTATGAGCAGACTCATCAATCGCGAACTACGTTTTTACAGCTATGAAGTGACCAAACCAAATTCGCGACTGAGCAAAAGAATTTCCCAATGAGAGCCCAAGTGGCAGTGTTCACGCCGAACGTGAACTGCTTAATATTATACTTATTTTGACCACCATGGGCACCCACTCATAGCCCATAGTGCAGAAAGGCAGATTCTCTCCTTGCTACCTTACTTGAGATTCCACTGTTATCGTATCATCTCTACCTAAACAGCTGATAGCAGTCGATGCTGAAAAACAATAGTTTTTTTGACTATTTTGAGCTTCTCCACTATTCTTCACAGATCTCATATGATCATACGGGCAGACTGGAGGCTATTGTCCTATCTATACCCACAGGATCGATGGAAATATATACAGCTGGTCAATCGTATACAAGGACAGTATAGGAGATAGTGTAAACTTCCAACTGCTCTCCACCCCCCCCCCCCCTTCCTGAACAGCAACAACAGCACCTCAGTAGTAGTAGCAAATCAAACCAGCAGTTAGTTTGTTGACCGCCGAAGCAAACGGTCCTCTTCTGCACGGACAAACTCCGTGCATCGCGCGCGCTCGCTCGACCTGTCGCACTTCTCGCCCTCAGACTTGGAAAGGGTGTAGTAAGAATTGTATATACGTGTAAATAAAGTGGACAATTTTACTGTTAAGTGTTTCATGCGCAAGATTACTGCACCCCGGCCCTGAGTATCGGCCAGTATATCCCGGCGTCAACAGGCAGTTTCCGCTGTCGCCTGGTGGGCCCGCTCAGTAGGCTTCGAATTATCAGCCTCAAAAAGCATCAGGTGCCATGTCTGCCCTTCTCAACACAGAATTAGCTGACAACCGATCAAAATCGACGACCAGTTCATACCGTTGAAGAAGACCGTCCGAGTTCTAGGAGTTCTCGTTGACCAATTCCTCAACTTTGAACAGCATTTCAGTGCAGTCAAGAAAAATTGCTGCAGCCGAGTGAATCTCATCCGGATCACTTCCCGACAGCACAGATCTAACAACCACAGCATTCGTTTTCATGTTGTGGGTGCAATTATCGACAGTCGCCTTCTATACGGGCTGGAGATAACCTGCATAGCAACGGATAAGCTTTTAGCTCCGTTAGCACCAGTCTACAACACCTACGTCCGGATTGTCTCTGGCCTGCTGCCATCCACGCCCGCTGACGCTGCGTGCATCGACGTGGCATCCTTCCTTTCCGCTTCCGTATAACCGCAGCTATCGCAACCAAAGCCGCTGCTTTCATCTCTAAAACATCCGGAAATCAAGGGATCTTCCTCCTCTACGAGGGGAACAGACTCCTCCGCACGGCTGCCAACGAAGATCTCCCCCCAGTGGCCAGGGTCCACTGGCATGAAGACAAATCCTGGCAAACACCATTACCGAAAATCGAAAGCCGGATTAAAGGCTGACTAAAAGTAAATTTGTACACACAAAAAGACCTGTAATTCGTGATTCATTAATTTAAAAAAGTCCAGTGATGGTTGCATTACAGTACTTTTATAAAAACTTCAAAGTAACAGCATTAGATGGTTACATTTCTCCAGTTCGAACGAAATCTCGAACCTTCCTCATGATGGAGGCCATCAGCGCCCGCACAGTGGAAACGGACACGGAATCAGCGCATTTTTGCATTTTGCCGGAATTTGCTGGATGTCATTGTTTTCCCCGCCGATTCGTCGAAGTCGCTGCTTTGAAATTGCCCAGTATTTTTCGATTGGTCAGAAATCCGGGCAATTCGGAAGATTCATTAGCTTGGGGACAAAATCGATCTTGTTGGCAGCATATCAGGTTCAAAGCCGAAGACAATTCAGTGGCCATGAAAAGGACTGCAGCTGAAATGTTAGGAGAAAAATACCCCACGCACACTCACCGATACACGGACGGATCTCGCTCTCGGGCCGGGGTCGGTATCGGTATCGGTATCAGTCTTGCCTGAAACATGACACCAACCAGCTGCAGCTTACCGCCGTAATGTTCTGTCTTTTCTGCTGAAGCTGCTACAATCTTTATCGTTACTACAACGCCCTCGGACCAACCGATCCTGGTCCTCACGGATTCGCACAGCGTCATACAAGCCCTGACATCCGAGGTCCCGGGTCATCCCTGGGTACAGGCGACGATGAAGTCCGCGCCACCAAACACGGTATTCTGCTGGGCTCTGGGGTAGTCCGGAATACCATCTGCCCCTCGCTATACCAACGAAGTACCGTTACACGATGTCAAGCACTGGATCGTGAGCAAAGTATGGGAAGCTTGGGATGCGGAGTGGACAGAACCGTTGAATCAGCGAGATCAGAAGATAGCGTTGCGTTTGAGGACCGGTCACAGAAAGATCCCGCACAATTTCGGTAGAAACGCCATCGAGCCAGGAGCCAATTTTCTGTTGAATTCAGCACTGTAAAAAAACTACTCTGTTGGGGTCCTCCTTCTGAGGCCTCACCATTAATGGACGAGATAAACTAGCCTACGGCAAAAAATCTCAAAAATAAAGTTAGAAAAAAAATCCAGTTTTTTCTTGAAATAAAACGTATAACGTGTCAGAAAATGATGCTGATTTCCAGTTGCTGACAATACATCAGCCGGCACTGGTGGTCTGGGCCGAGTAGAAAATTATTGCCAATACTCACCTGCGTAGTTTAGAATGCTGTAAAAACGCTATTCGCTAAACGGTTGCAATTTAACTTGCACATTTTGTGGGGTGATATCTTTGACGAAAACGATCTATCCATGTATCAATAATTTATTTCAGTACTTCTTTGCTTTGAACATTACAAACGTTTTGGTAGAACTATGTTTAATAGAATAATCAATAAGTAATAATAGTGAGAATCATTGTAAATCGTAACTGTTTTACTGCGTGTTTTCCTTCATAATTCTTTATTTTTGTTTCCTACTAATTTCCACACCATAGTGTGTGGCTAGCGAAATGTCTAAGTCTAATGATATTAGAATATAACAAACTGAAATTAGAAGTCTGACTAAGTTTGTTTTTGTAGAGAGATAGGGCCTAATGTATGATCGTAACAAAATGCACCATTAAATCTTAAATGAAAGCTGCCATAAAAAATAAACCTTATGGTCCTTGACTTGTTTTATTTGCTTACATGTGGATGGAGCTAATGGTTATCTTTAATATGCATTGCATTTTCCAATCTAACATGTCTTCTAAATATGGATATATTTTATGAATTTTGTTGATTAACCTGTTTGTATTTGTTGATCATATTCACTCCGTAATGCAAAATATTGTTTTTAGTATTTTCTCTCATTTATTTTTGGATTCAGCCTTTCGATGATCATACGCTTACCGCAATAACCAGTTAGATTCTCCGTATTCGTTTTGTGCATCTTGCTGGCTTTATCTTGCCCGTAAAAAGATGCACCTTCTTACATACTAGGAAGAAACCGTCGCATATATGATTTGATTGAATTACTCTTATATCTTTCATGCTTTTGTCTATAGTTTTGTAGTTTGCACCATTGCCGTTCCGTGATAATATCCAAGGTTACAGTTGTTTCTAATTCTCTTCTAGTTGAATAAGAATACTCTTAGTTGTGGCATAGTTACTAGACTTTGCGCTCAATTAATACCAATATACATGGGAAAAAAAAATAAAACTTTGCTAATCAATTTGGATAGTTAGTCGGTAAATGTTATGATAAATCAGTGTTAAGCGAGCCAGAAAAAGACAGAACATTTGTAAATTAAAGATGACTAGTATTGTGCTAATAATGTAACCAATTTATAGTATTAGTTAGTTCATTCGAATTTAAGTCGCACGTCCACTCCTGTTTTTTTTAACGCAAATTCAACTATGCTCAAACAAGAATTTCAATCAGACTAACATAAGGCAATTGAGCGAAATTATCCGTAATTTTTGACAGATTTTATTTGCAAGGAATATTTTTATTGATGATGATTAGTTTATGGAATTTTTTTACCATCATCTTGATAGTTTTACCAAGGTTTATCTTTCGACGAATATTTGAAACTAAAATTGCTGTATTCAGTTAAATTGAAGCCTTTAAATATTTGCACTACTGAAGCTGTTATTAACCTCTATAGAAGAAATTTCAAATTTGTGGATAACAGTTTTATCCTGCCAAAAATAATATCTCTATGTCTTTGAACATTTATTGGATCCTTCATGTTCTCTCATTTTGTATCACGTAATTTTCAGTATTTTGGGTCCTTCTTACCCTGCACCAATCAGTCACTTTCGTTGTTCAGCAGTGCGACGGTTCCCAGCACATTCGGGCCGTTGTCTGCGTTTCCGTTCGAGTATGGGCTGACGTTATTTAGAGTTGAACATGAATTGCTGGAACTACCGGTTGAGCCTCCAATTACAGAGGCGTTTGGTTTGTTATTGTTGATAGAATTGTTACTGCTGCTTCCTGGTAGCCCAGAATTTTGGCTGCTAACCCCCATCGGGCCATAGAAGATGAGTTCAGGAATTTGTCCTCCTTGAACTCCGGTACCGTTGGTACTCTCAGAGGAGCACTGAAACTGAAATGTGACCGTTCCAACGCAAACTTCACTCATTCCCTCTTGCCCAAAGAAGCTCAGCTCGGTTCCATCCAATACCACCGATGCAGTGTAGAAACATTCCGGTTCGATCTGAATGGGCGTCTCGAAGAACACATGGAACGTATTGCTGGAACCATCCGAGAAGAACTTTGTACTGTTTTCCGCCAAAACTCGCCCCAGTCGTTTCAGTTCAATCTTAACATCGTAGTCCGCCGCCCCAGTGGATGATCCATACAGACCAAAGCCAACAATGAATATCCGCTTATCAACGGAAAACTGAATCGAATCACAGCGTCCTCTGTAGCGCCATTGATTGCTCCTGTAGGCACACGAGGCAAATCTATGGCACACCTGGGTCTTCAGGCCCGCCCTTGTCTTAACCGGGAACGTCAATTTAGGTTTGTTCTTAGCGGTAAAGTTCAAAAATATATCGATTGTCTCCTGATTGGTCAGTATGCCCAGCTGAGCAACGCGGTTGGCGAACTCCTCCAGTGACATGGTCGGAATCCGAACCAGATACAGTGCTGGTCCCAACACCTGCCGTTTGTTGTTGGACGTTGGTTCTATGTCGATCTTTGTGCACGCCGCATGAGCCCAGTTCAGGGCAGCTTCGAACAGATGAATCTCTTTGCAGTTGAGTGTTTCCCGTGCCAGAATGGTTTCGAATGTCTTCAGGTCTATATCGACGAAGCCCTCCGATTTGATGGCCATTTCCGCCTGCAATTATGGTGACAACCGTTCGAACAGAGAGGGGGTGGAGAAAATTGATACAAAGCGTTAGGACGATGTGGGGATAGAGTACAAACTTAAAATGAGTAAAACTGCAATATTTTCCGTTTTTTCGCAAGTAAATTTCCTTTATCTATTTCGTTTTGCCACTTTGACGGTATACAGTTTCGAGTACATCTAGGTACAATACGATAAAATGTTTATAAATCGCTTCCTGATACGTGAGCCGGTACAACTTGGTTGTTATAGTATTGTTTAACATTGAGCTTCTGCTGTGTGATTGTTGTCTTTTGGGTTAGCTTTGATTAGATATGCATTGGATATTACACGGTGGGAAAATTTGAAAAACGACACACATTCATAGATTGAGATTGAGATTGTAGATTAAGTCTTTGGTAAACGAAATGAAAGTTTCGTAATTTGATCGCATTCAAATTTGGAACGAAAAATGAGATTATCACTTGAAATTAAAATTGAATTCTCCCGCCGATACATTTTGGCAATGGACTATCAGAAGCATAATTAAACTTGTCGTTACTAAGCCAATCAACACATGCTGATAATTCGATTTGCGAACATATTTATTTCTGTATCTTACAAAATATTGCAGTTTTAACCTATTTTTAGTATTATATGCGAAATGAAAACTTTGCTATTCTTAGATAAATGTATGAAGATAATGTTTACAAGGTGGTTTAGGATGAAATTTAGCAGAGGGTAGCAGTTCAATTATCAGAGGTATTCAGCCTCAACAGACGCATTATTAAAAGAAAATCATGGATTGTTGATTTTTACCATTGATTCACCCTTTAAACTATTTTAATTTTTGAAAACAATTGGAAGAGAAAGGAACAACTCTAAAGTACCTTGGTAAGAGTGAACTAACATTTGGGTACTTTTCTTATATAGTGTGCTTGCTCGAGATCACGGACCGTTTTTGAAATGCGGCAATGATTTATGTAAACTTATGCATTTACCATATAGGAATGAGACAATGTCTTGACAAAGGCTGATCGCATTTCAAAAAACCTGCTTTGAAAAATCATGGGATTTTACATTTTCACCAAGAGCGTGAAATCGCAAATTGTTTTAAGTCTGAGATCTAAACAAAACATTGTTTAGAGATTGTCAGAGCACCCGAGTACTAATGACTTCCGAAGTCATGCTTAGGCATATAATTTATTTTAAGTTTGTAATCTATTTTTTTTTTCGAAGTCCTCCATCCCGAATATTTTAATAGTTGAATTTTGAAAACTTATCATGTTTCTTAAATTTAAAATTTTTACCATGTCAGAAATTTGAACTGAGATCTCTTAAGATCCGAATATTTTTCCAAATGGTGAAATTTTCCCATGTCTGAATCATGCTGATTATTCTTTTAGAGCTATTCAGAAAACTTATTTGGAATTTCCTTAGAATCATCTTAGAATTCAATTTCCCGGGAACTTTTTAGAATTCCTTTTGAATTAAATTCCGATTTTCTATTGATTCAGCAGTTTCTTAGATTTCAACTCTCAAAATTTTAAATCATACTAAAAACTACCTTAGAATTCTCCTTATAAACCACTTAAAGTTCTTCTCACAATTAACTTGAAATACTTTGCAAAATTAGCTTGGATTTCTAGTCAAAACTAACATATTTTTTTTTAAATTAACTCACTTTTCCTATACAATTCTCTCCATAATGAATTATTCCTCATGATTCATGTTGAATGCTCCCAGAAACCCAGAAATTCGCAAGAAATTTTCCTCAGAACTATCTTGTAATTGTCCTCAGAAATTCATCTGAATTCTCTTGAGAATTTATTTTGATTTCTCTCCAGAATTAATTTGGAACTATGCCTAAATTACTAAGTTCTTTTAACAATTTCCTCGATGGTTAACCTCAGAATTACTATGGAATTTTAATCAAAAATTCCTAAGATTCACTTGGAATCATAAGTTTAACAGTATTACCTTGAAATCCTACTCAGAACTATTTTGGAATCAATCCTTAGATTTCAGTTGAAGTTGTCCCTGAAATTTGTCTCATAGCTCCTTAAGTATTCTTAGGATTCCCTTGAAACTAATCCCAGAAGTAGAAATTTTTATAAAAATTCTCTTTAAAATTCATCGATGTTCCAGAATCGTGAATTTTTTCCAAGTCTAAGAATCTTCCAAATCACACTATATTTGAAATACGTACCTGTCATGACCAAAATACTCAATAGAATTAAATGTTTAATTGCTCCCATAATCTTATTCAAGCATTTTTTAAGTTCCACACCTCAAATGTTTATTTTCGGTCCAAAACCCTGACCATTTTTTAACTTTTTTTTTTCAAAGTTCAGGATTTTGTAAATAAAATCTTCCTTCTCTTCTAATAAATTTTGCATTTCGTAAAAATTAGAAGCCTTCATAAAACATTATCTTTTATAAAGTTTACAACAGGCTCCGTAAAATTTCCACCGATTACATAAATTCCCTAATTTTAGTTTACCCATTAAATTTGCATTTTTTTAGCAGAGACAAAACATTCCATTGAATAATGAATTGTGCATGAGAGTATTGATCCATTTCAATGAGCATTTCTAAATCAGCTTTTTATTACATTCCGTACTAGCAAACATTGTGTGTAAAAGCGCAATGTAAACATAAAACAATAGCAAATTTGCGATGACTTCGGTCTACAATAACAACATTTTTTAAAGTAATTTGATCAGTTATATTTGGTCATGAAATTGTTTTCACTCACATAGGTACTTCACAACACTCCAGGTATTACGTAAATACGGCAAATGTAAATTGTTTGTATAGTAAGCATGTTAACATTCATTAGCAATTAGTAATGATTCGACAACAATCACCACAATTAAGGTACATTTATAGCAATATCAATATCAACTGAGTGATACACCGTTTATATCTGATGTTCGCATTCCCACACAAAAATGCTATCTAATGATGTATTTCTAGTAAAATTTGAGCTCGGTTCCTTAAACCGAAGGTTCCCCTGAGTTATCCATTTCGCTAGCGCTCAGTGAACTAGTGGAAACGGATGAAGAAACCGTAGTGGATGAACTAATTGAACTGCTACTATCTGTGCCGTTTCTGGTGCCAGGCGAAATCGGTTGGCAGGATTCAGGTTGCTCGAAATAGGAGGAAGGGGAACCAAGTGGGGGTGGGTTAGGAAAGTTCAACATTCTACTGGTGTTAGCTTTTGATTTTGGACTGGTAGTATCAGTATCAGTGCTATTACATGTACTGGTAGAACAACTATCGATTATGAAATGAGTGCTTTCCCTATCTATAACTTCTAGGTTGGCCGTACTGTCACATACCTGGGCGTCAATCACTTCCCAGCAGCGCTGCATCAGTTCCGGTTCCTCAAAGAGCCTCGACTGACTCAGCAGCAGGCAAGCGTTTTTTGCCGTTAGACTAGTTTCCAAATAATTGACACAGGCCCGCGCCAGATGGGGAACGATATACTTCTTGGCGACGTACAGTGTGGCCAGAACGTTATCCGCTTCCAGGTGGATCTCATCACAGTAGAGATATCTGATTGAAAAAAAAGTTTAGAAATCAACATAAACATTAAAAGATTTGAGAATTAACATCAATCATAACTACACTTTAAAATCGTTGGGTCAACTTACTTCAGTAACGTTAGGAAAGCGTTCGGTTCAACGTCAGGAACTTTAATTTCTTGCTTATTCTCGGCCAGTCCGCCGTAAAACATGGCATAAAAGACGGAACTTCCGGTAGCAAGCACGTACTTATGAGCCGGTATGGTTTGCACTTGTTCTGATGGCGGCGCGAGATGGTGAGAGAAAGAGAGTGAGACCGAAATTAGATAAAGGCATATAAAAAGGACACATGCGAGCGCATCGTTATGTAACCACGTGTTTGCATCTCGCCGGTTTTCTGACTGCTGCTGCTGATGATGATGATGATGCAGTATCCTAATTAAGCATCTTTATCTGCATACAGCTGCAGCAGCACTAGCCTAACGGGGCGTAGTCCCAACTGAGTACTTACCATCGGTCCCGACAATGAAACGTATGTCCGCCATCAAATCGTTGTTGAACATGGCCGCATTCCGCTCCCGAACGGTGCTCTTGGTGGCCTGCCAGTTTGGATCACCCGTGTCCGCCGCGGTAGTACTGGTAATGACACTGCTACCTCCACTGCTGGTGCTACTGACTCCAGTCGGTAGACAGAACGAGGTCGAACTGAGGGCACCGGGCGAGGTGATGGTCGGTGACGATGGCGCACTGCAGGGTTGAGTCACTTGCATATTCTCCACTCCTCGACCACCAGCCGGGCCGTTCTGATTGCCGGGTGCGGTGGCCCCACCAGTAGCGGCTGCTGCTGCTGCACCGCTGTTTTGATGAAACGGGGCCAACACGTTGAACATCTCAACTGCAATGAGAATATACGAGACACAAGCTAGAATGGTTCCATTTGTTCTTCCAACACCAACTGAGACTGAGTGCGGTTTTCGCACGGTGGACAACACGCTATAAACGTTTCCTTTATTGTCTACAATCACAGTAGTTAGTTATTTGCACACATGGTGACGTCACGTCGTCGGTCTGTTCACGCGTATGCTCCAAACTCGGAAGGTAGTGTTTACGGCTTGTGCACTAGTAGTGGAATGAAAATCTGCATTGCAAACAAATCGTGGTGGGTCGGAATGGTGCGAGAGAGCATTGATTTTCCGCTTGTTTTGTTTGTCCTTGATCCGTCGCCTGCCGAAGCACGGTGACGGAGAAGGGAAGGAGGTGGCATACCGGTCGCGGTCGTTTACCAACGGGTGGAAAAACTTTGGGTCGAATCCGTGAGTGTGTGAACGAGCTGAGAAACGATTAGCACACGGTGGGTTTGAATGCGGCTTGCACAAAAGCGCATTGGCGGTTAAAACTGTGTATGGAAATTTGCAATTTACTATATGGTTTTCAATATTAACGCTGTCTTTTAATTAATTATGAGCATTTCCAGCCCAAAACGCAAACCGGTTGGTCATGAGTGTTTCCGATTTGAATGAAACATTTCTCACGTGTTCGCTGCTACTAATGGTTGCATTTTTCATTTAAATATGATTTTTTCCTCCAGAGTAACTTTTGAAAAGGGCGTATAAAAAAATGGATTATTTTTTTTTTCAAAAAATCATAACTTGAAAACTATTGATCTGATCAAAATGACATATCAGAAAAAGTTTTAGGTAGTTAAATTATCTTTGCGGAAAAAAAAACACTGAAAGAAAAACTTAGTAAATTAGTATTTAAAAAACGTAAAACGATGATTATCTCAAAACACCCCCCCTTCGATCTTTATAATTTTTTTTTTCAAGAAAACTGAAAAAATGCCCTAATATTTGGTGAAGAGTGTATGCTGGTAACTTTCTTAAAAAAAAATCTATAATTTTTGAAATTTTTGTTGGTTTTTACAAGTTGGTGAAATTGCATATTTTTAAGTAAAATAGTAATTTATTTGGATTCTACGCATAATTTTCAAAAACTTTGCATATAGAAACTTTTTTCCTTAGTCCAGCCGTTCTCAAGTTAATGCAATTTAAAAAAATAATTAATAATAATTTTCTACATTTTGAGCCATTTTAAAATGTTAGTCGTGATGTCCAGCAACGAGATGTTTTTCCATGAATATATATTAAAAAACAAACAGTTCATTCTCAAATATGGTAGCTGTCAGACTTACCCGTTTCTATTTAGACGCAGCAGAAAAGAAACAAGTTTATTAGTAAATACTCTCAAATATACCCAAATAATCAACAAACCCACTCATGTGCCTTTTTTCTGTCCTCTATTAGTTGTATACCTGGATAGAATTGTGTATGTCATAACAGAGGCTCAAAACATAAACAGGTAAACAAATATGTTATTAAACCTGTAATTGAGATAAATTCTCTAGGTACTTCTCTGACGTATACCATATTGTGCCTTAAGAGCTCATCCCGCGATATCACAACTACATAAAAAGGCACCCCGTGGAGGCTTCTTACACTCACACTTAAAAAAGTTTGCTATAATCAATTGTACCTAATGAAGATAGGTATAATGTCAACATTGTAATTATTCTGCTACATATATATATATATCTATTGGGACGTTCTTCACCTGTTCTGTATCCGCTGATTTGCCGCAGATCCCGCCTCTCAAGGGTGAAAAAACTGGCTGTCTACAAACAAATCATAGCACCTGCGATCCTCTATGCAGCTCCCCTGTGGGAATCATGTGCACAGACTCACAGGAACAAAATCCAAATCACTCAGAATAGAGTGCTGAGGATGATTCTTGATCGTCCTTTCGACACTAGAATAACAAATTTACATGAAGAAGCAGGCATTGCCAAAATAGATTCCCGAATTAACGAAATTAAGACTAAATTTGCACAAAAATGTATTTTATCAGAACATGTATATAGTAGTTGTAGGTTAGTTGTAGTTGTAAATAGTAGTTATAAGTAGTCTCCTTTTTTCAAATTTTAAACAAACCAATCCCACCAAGGTGGGCATTCTTAAAACAGGCCTGATAGGACTAGGAACTGTAATTAATAATAATTTTAATTGAAAAGGAACTAAAGCTGAAAAGACGCATCTGTGTCACTTGATAAGGTATACATGTAAACCACACAATACAAGAAATAAAGATCATTTAAGTCAAGTTCTTCACCTGTTCCATTCAGTTCATCTCTCTTAGCGTTTCAAGTTAAAAAGCAAGTAGTTTTTTATGATGGATAACAATTTCAAGTGTTGTAAACCTCTACCTAAATCAATTTAGAAGCATTACACAGTAGCAGTTCAGTTGTTTATCTCAAAATTATTAGAATTTTTCGCAAATAACAGTCCAAAAGTGTATTTTTATGTTAGATAGAGCAGCATCACAATACAAAAACATAAAAAAATTTGCTAGCCTTTGTGGATTTAAAGATAAGCTAAATGTAGAAATGGAATGGCATTTTTTTGCAACTTCACACGGCAAAGGTCCTTGTGATGCGATTGGCGGTACCCTTAAGAGAATGGCAACCAGAGCAAGTTTAGCTAAGCAACACGAGCACCCTATAACGAACCCTAAACAACTGTACGACTAGGCAAATAGTCGTAAAGAAGATTTTCAAACAAAAATGTCATTTTGTTATGTTTCTACGGAAGAATACAAAAAGGCTGACACGGAATTTGATCCAATTTTTAAGAAAGTGAAACCAATTCCTGGAACTCGAAAATATCATTGCTATATTCCAGTTTCAAACAACCAAATTGCAGTAAAAATATTCTCTATTTCAAACGATACATCCAAATTATTCAATGTATTCAAATAATATGAGTTGTAAAATAAAATAATAAATATATACTGTTTTTTATCTCAACAAATCTTTCATTTGACCACATCAACGTGCTTCTCTTCCGCTGCCTCTAGGTAGAAACGGGTAAGTCTGACAGCTACCATATCTGAGAATGAATTGTTTGGTTTTTAATATACAATCATGAAATAAAATCTCGTTGCTGGACAACTCGACGAACATTTGAAAATGGCCTAATATGTTGAAAATTGTTATAATTATATTTTTTTAATTCGCATTAACTTGAGAACGGCTGGACTTAGGAAAAAAGTTTCTATATGCAAAGTTATCGAAAATTATGCGTAGAATTCAAATAAATTATTATTTTATAAAAAAAAATGCATTTTCATCAACTTGTAAAAATCAACAAAAATTTAAAAAATTATAGCTTTCTTTTTAGGAAAGTTACCAGCAAACACTTTTCACGAAATTTAAGAATATTCCATCAATTATTTTGAAAAAAAAAATTATAAAGATCGAAGGGGGGGTGTTTTGAGATAATCATCGTTTTACGTTTTTTAAATACTAATTTACGAAGTTTTTTCTTTCAGTGTATTTTTTCCGCAAAGATAATTTAATTACCTAAAACTTCTTCTCATATGCCGTTTTGATCAGATCAATAGTTTTCAAGTTATGATTTTTTGGAAAAAAAATAATCCATTTTTTTATACGCCCTTTTCAAAAGTTACTCTGGAGGAAAAAATTATATTTAAATGAAAAATGCAACCATTAGTAGCAGCGAACACGTGAGCAATGTTTCATTCAAATCAGAAGGGGTCGAGACAAAATTGACATTTTTTTTAACGATTTGAGCTAGAAATGCTCTTATGAGAGTTAGCCAGTCTTACAAATCTAGTCTTGAGATCCATGAAAGGTTTTTCTATTAACCTTATTGACCAAATAAGCTTTAGTTTCGTCATCACGAATAAAAGTATTGAAAGTTATTCAACATTGGGGGATTTTATGCGAAAATCTCCTGAAACCCCAACTTGCACTATCTTGCACATAATGAAATCAGTTCCGTTCGATTTCTGATATTTTACCCTAAAAGAAGGACTAATTTGATCAACTTTCTTCAGCGGGAACATTAGTTTTTGAATTTTGGAACATTACGATGTCGGATCAATTTCGGGTCAAAGTTAAGCAAATGTCGATCCAAAGTCAGGTTAGTGTCGGATGAATTCCAGGTTCATGTCGGGTTGGGGTCTGGTGAAAGTCTAGTTGATGTTGGGTTGGCTCAAGTTTTCCGGCAGAATATCGAACATCTGAACGCAACTGAATGATTTCAAGCGTTTCTCAATTGAAAGGAAGATGACCCATGCTTTCTTCAACGAAATCAACAATTCGAATGAGATCCCTTTGAAAGTGGGTGGTTACTAAATATTGACAATATTGTGATTTTCGTAAAATATTGTCTACCGAATTTGAGAAATAGGGGCCATGCATTAATATTGTCACGCAAAATTGTGGCAAAAGCGGCGCCGCCGGGATATTCTGAGGCATAAAATCTCTGATCACGTGTTCCTTCGGAAGGGAAGTAAAGCCATTGGTCCCCGGTTCATGAGTTGATGGGTCGATAGGTAGGATCCACGTGTAGGAGCTGCCTCCCTGGCGTCGGTACCATTGGTGCTCAGCACGGGAAACAAGATCGACGGAAAACAGATCAAGGGAAAAAAATCGTGATGCAAGAACAATGGAACCATTTATTTAAGACATACATACATAAGTCCATTTGATGCGGGAAAACAACAATAAACGGTTCTTACATGGTTTCTCGACAAATTACAGCTCCATAGTTTGAACCTTGCATTACAAGAGATTATTGATGATTATGTTTCAGATAGGCAACCTAGTACCGGGATCATGTGAAAGCATAGGCACAACACATTAAAATGTAAAGTGCCAAGACCTAATTCATGCATTTTGCCAATTTCTACACACATGTAATATTTTCTAAATTTCTATTTATCTCATACACAAACCAATCACCTACATTTTCAGCTCCAAACATCCAAAATTCACATTATTAGTTTTTTTTATAAATTGCTCGAAATTAGGATTTA